TTATGAAGGATGAGGTTAATCATAGAATTGATGAGGGAAAAAAGGTGAGTGGTGCATTGAGGTATATGTGGAGTCAAAAAACATTATCTATGGAGGCAAAGAAGGGAATGTATGAAAGTATAGTAGTACCAACACTCTTATATGGATGTGAAGCTTGGGTGGTAAATGCAGCAGCGAGGAGACGGTTGGAGGCAGTGGAGATGTCCTGTCTAAGGGCAATGTGTGGTGTAAATATTATGCAGAAAATTCGGAGTGTGGAAATTAGGAGAAGGTGTTGAGTTAATAAAAGTATTAGTCAAGAGGGCTGCAGAGGGGTTGTTGAGGTGGTTTGGTCATTTAGAGAGAATGGATCAAAGTAGAATGACATGGAGAGTATTTAAATCTGTAGGGGAAGGAAGGCGGGGTAGGGGTCGTCCTCGAAAAGGTTGGAAGGAAGGGGTAAGGGAGGTTTTGTGGGCGAGGGGCTTGGACTTCCAGCAGGTGTGCATGAGTGTGTTCAATAAGAGTGAATGGAGACGAATGGTATTTGGGTCCTGACGTTGTGTTGGAGTGTGAGCAGGGTAATATTTAGTGAAGGGATTCAGGGAAACCGGTTATTTTTATATAGCCAGACTTGAGTCCTGGAAATGGGAAGTACAATGCCTGCACTCTAAAGGAGGGGTTCGGGATATTAGCAGTTTGGAGTTCTAAACCATCGTGTTCTGAGCACCTCTGCAAAAACAGTGATTATGTGTGAGTGAGGTGAAAGTGTTGAATGATGATGAAAGTATTTTCTTTTTGGGGATTTTCTTTCTTTTTGGGTCACCCTGCCTCAGTGGGAGATGGCCGACTTGTTAAAAAAAAAAAAAATACAGTACATCAGAACAAAGAAAAATATTGATAAAATAATAATAAAGAAATATAATATTAAAAAATGTGGGAGGGTGTGTCCACAAAGTTGGAAAGAAATGATGGCTCATATTACTGTGAACACAATTGTAATTTTAAAATCCAAATTTCTTGGCCAAGCTGTACCAAAGAAATTGGAAACCATCATACCTACACCAAATGAACATATAACAAAGAAAAATACATTTAATAAAACAAAAGCTGAGAAAACAATCATAAACAATTGTAAAATTAGTGTGGTGATTGGAAGTGTGCAGACCCACCAGCCACCACCCTCCTCTCTCTTTCCACTATTCCTCACCAACCTCTATGATTTTAAGGCTCCTCTACAGTGTGCAACTGTTTGTAAATGTATATAAAAGTTGGAGAGAGAAGTCAGATGTTTGGCAGAGATGGAGTATTATTACTGTATACAGTATTCACAAAACAGCCCTACACCCATAAATAGTGCATTTAAGAATGAAAATGCCAAGTCTCACACTTTCTCTAGGCTGCAGCCAGAAGTATGCAGAGGAGCTCTAGTGTGACTATTGCCTCGCAAACTCCCTAGCTCAATAATTTCTGCTATGTCATGTCTCTATTAGGAGCTAAGACAATAAGGTACAGAATTAAATTATAAGTTGTATCTATAAATGTCTTTGTTAAGTAAATGGAAGGGAAATTAATTACTGGTAGTGTGGTGGGTGGCAAGCCTTCCTCCCTTTCACTATATGGCATTATCATATAGTTACAGACAATTCAGATGTATGGAAATACATTATTATACAGTACATAAAAAATAAGCTAGTTAGATTCGTGCAATATGCAGCAGTGTTCAGATACATCTGAGGGAGGGAGGGACCATAGTAGATAACCTTTACTTTACACAATGTTTCTCTTGCTCTTCAGCCTCACTTCACTGCTCTCATTTATGCAAACTTTCCCACTATCACCAGTCACCAGCCTGTACAGTTATTGCAGAATTACATCCTGAGTAGACAGAATCACAGAAGACATGGGAATCTGCAATTATTACATTGTAAAAGTAATGTATAAAATGAACATTCATGGCTGCTTCAATAAGCTGCTAATGCACAATGAATATGCTCTTCCAACTGTTATGATGTAGTGGTTCTATATACACTGAGCATCATGTGGGTAGTAGAAGTTTAGGAAAGCACCAGTGAAGTAAGATGGAGAGATGTCTAGTGGACATACATTAGTTAGGTAAAACAGGGAGATGTCCAATGGACATAACTATAAGAAGTGAAATGCACTTGCTCAATAGGCAAGTAGCCATAGGCCACTCAACTACACAGCAAACAGAGTGAAAAAACTATGGTACAGAATACCCAAAGTCTGCATTTTCTTTATAGATTTGCAGAACATAATATAATAATAATATCTTTATTTCTACAAGTACAAGGTATACAGGCCTAGCTGACATCAATGACATACTACTATACAGAAAGCCGTTTGTTATGCAGAGCATTTCGGGAAAATTAGGTCAATTTTGTCCCAGAATGCAACCCACACCAGTCAACTAACACCCAGGTACCCATTTTTTACTGATGGGTGAACATAGACAACTGGTGTAAGGAAACACGCCCAATGTTTCAACCCTTACCTGTAATCGAACCCGGATACTCACTGTGTGAAGCGAGAGCTTTGCCACCATGCCACTAAATTTTTATTGTGAATTTTTGGATTGCATATTTTGAGGCCTATTACAAAATAATTTTGTTACATTATTCCTTGTTATAAGATGGTCTACTGTATTTTTGTCCAAAATAAGCAAAGCTTATATATGTGTTTAAGCTATAAACCAGCATAAATCAATCTGAACCAAATGATATTAATGCTTTACAATGATGTCAAATAATGCTCTCAAAACTTCTGCTGATCTCAGATAGACTGGACAGGATTAAGCTACATTATATAATATTTAGGAAGGTTAGCTAATTAGGTGGCTGAATTGCTTTTGGTGCTGGATTAAAAATGCATATACTATTATAAATCATTTATAAAAACAATGCAAAGAAAACACTTCGTCTAACAAACCTATTTATAATAAATAAAATAGGGGAGCAATGTGGGAGATGTTGGAAGTGTATGGAATAGGTGAAAAGTTACTAAATGCTGTAAAGAGTTTTTATGAGGATAGTGAGGCTCAGATCTGGATATGTAGGAGAGAGGGAGATTACTTTCCAGTAAAAGTAGGCCTTAGATAGGTATGTGTGATGTTACCATGGTTGTTTAACATATTTATAGATGGGGTTGTAAAAGAAATAAATGCTAGGGTGTTGGGGAGAGGGGTGAGATTAAAATATGAGGAATCTAATACAAAATGGAAGCTGGCACAGTTACTTATTGGTGATGATACTGTGCTTTTGGGAGATTCTGAAAAGAAGTTATAAAGGTTGGTGGATGAGTTTGAGAGGGTTTGTAAGGAAAGTTGAAAGTGAACATAGGCAAGAGTAAGGTGATGAGGATATCAAATGAATTAGGTAATGAAAAACTGGACATCAGATTGGAGGGAGTATGAAAGAAGTGAATGTGTGCAAATATCTGGAAGTGGAAGTGTCGGCAGATGGGTATAGGAAAGACAAGGTAAACCATAGAATTGATGAAGGTGGGAAACGGCCGTGTTAAAAAAAAAAAAAGAAGCGAGTGGTGCAATGAGATATCTGTGGAGACAAAGAACATTATCTATGGAGGTATAGTGGTACTAATACTCTTATATGGGTGTGAAGAACTGATTGTGAATGTTCCAGCAAGAGGGAGGTGGAGGCAGTGGAGATGTCATGTTTGAAGGCAATATGTGGCATAAATATTATGCCGAGATTTCGTAGTCTGGAGATTAAGAGGTGCGGAGTTACTAAAAGCATTATCCAGTGGGAGTGAGGAGAGGTTATTGAGGTGGTTTGGTCATTTAGAGAGGATGGAGCAAAATAGGATGACTTGAAGGGTGTATAAATCTGTAGTGGAGAGGTGAGGTAAGGGGTCATCCTAGGAAAAGGAGAAAGGGGATTAAAGGAGGTTTTGTGTGCAAGGGGCTTGGACATACAGTAGGCATGTATGAGCATGTAAGATACAAGTGAGTGGAGACAAATGGTTTTTGGGACCTGACAAGCTGTTAGAGCAAGGTAATATTTTGTGAAGGGATTCAGGGAAACCAGTTAGCCGCACTGAAGTCTTGGAGGTGGGAAGTACAATGCCTGCACTCTAAAGAAGGGGTTTGGGATATCTGTTGTTTTGAGGGACATCTAAACTGTTGTATCTATGCACCTCTGGCAAGACAGTGGTAGTGTGAATGATGGTGAAGATGCTTCTTTTACAGGTCACCCTGCCACGGTGGGAGACGGCCAGCAAGTTTATAAAAAAAGTGTATGTATACATATATTAAAACATAACAGGGCAAATGGATTATTCCATGCACTGCTAAAAAACTAAGTGTGATAAATATGCAAACTAAATAATTTATTTTTCTATAATTTCTATGGTGAATTAATAATAAAAAATGGATTAAGCCATGACACAGATGTGTACACATGTGCACGGCTGCACTGACTAAAAAATGTTGTGAATACATCAAGTGACACAAAGCTTGGTGAAGGGAAGGCTATAGGTTACAATGCACAGCACAAGCAGCTCAGCCTCAACTTAACAAAATAGCTAACTTAAATTTAGGAAAACTAATAACTAAAAAGCAAATGCCATCTCATTTTTCTTTATTTGAAAAATACATATTCTGGTACTCTGCACTGCATGAAAAAATTACAGTAAATTACAATATTTAATTTTAAAGTTAATTAGTGATGTACTGTACAGTACAGTGTATCTAAATGAGATGACATAGTCTGATGGGTAAGTGAAATAGTTGAGAGAAACAGTCTCCTTTAAATCTATTACAAAAAAATACTATTTTGTCTCTTGCATTCAATGTGAATTACATATTAAAAAAATATTTACACAACAGCTAGATAATTCTCATGGCTAATTTTATAATGCAAAAATTTTCATGAATTCAAGAAAAATTTTGCATTACATAAAATTAACAGCATCTGTTAGAGCTATTAGCAAACATATCGCTGATCCACCAGACTGTGGCAACACAAAGCAGACACACTTACTCGGGAGTGCTTGATTTTGTTCAGTGTCTTGGTTACCTGGACCCCTGGTTTGGCTTGCAGGTGCTTCGATGTTTGTTTGATCAATGCACTGAGAAGTTCAGGTTGTAGTTCAGGGTAAGTGAGGCACTGCTGGAGAGCATTTTGACAAAGAACCACATGATAGTCTATACCTGATGAATCCATCAAAACTGAGGTGTATAGCTGACATGCCTGGTGGGAGAAATACAAGGGTAATGAAAAGTTGCTCAGTAATACAAACAAAATCTATAAATTCAAATTACAACAATTAATGAAAAATTATCACAATTATTACATTTAGTTATTTGTGTGGATTACAACTTCTCAGAATACTGTTTGGGATTACAACTTGTCACAATACTGTTTGAAAAGTTTATGGCATGCATACTATTTTTGGCAGAAATAAAGCTAAAATAATGTTTTGTAATATAGTGATAATAAATTTATTTCAATTATTATTTTTTGCTTACTACTTCTCATTCTGATAAATTAGACACATGTGCAACTCTTGGGTATCTTTATTGAGGAAACGTTTTGCCACACAGTGGCTTCATCAGTCCATACAAAGGAGAATCTTGAAGAACAGGAGGAGAATGAGGTAATCAGTCCCTCAACCTTGAGTCGATGTGGTCAGTCCATCAATCTTGAATAGAATGTATTCTATTCAAGATTCTCCTTTGTATGGACTGATGAAGCCACTGTGTGGCAAAACGTTTCCTCAATAAAGATACCCAAGAGTTGCACATGTGTCTAATTTATCAACATGTCGGTTCTCTGAACCATTCATCTACAAATACTTCTCATTCGTTCACCTGCTCACTCACTTGCTCGCTCACTTCCTTCCTTGTTCGTTCACTCATTTATCCGTTTGCTCCTTTGTTCTTTTTGTTTATTCTCTTTCTCCTTGGATTTTGTATATTGCTCTCAGTGTTAATTCAGTGTAATTAGTATTGCCTTTCACACTTGAGAAAGTCTGGAACTTTTGAGAAGCATTATGTATAAAAGGTGTGTATGTTCAGTAGTCTACTTACTATTGTTACAGAGGTTTTACAGTCACTGACAGCATGTGACATTTAGAGGTCTACCTCCCAGAGTTCAGAAAGGAAAGGAAAAATAAAAATTCCTAAACATAATAGAAACAAGCGTTTCCAATCACGTGAGGTGGACCCCATGCTTAAGCTCTAGCAGAGTGAGGTGCCTACACTCCAGCTGAGTCAGCAGCAACTATCTTACCCCCACAGCCACACAAATAACTACAAAGTGGAAAAAAGAAGTGATATATGGTACTTCGACCATTGAAGCACTCAGTGGGTAGGAAAAGACAGGGAAATTTGTCACCAATGCTCAGAGCAGAATACTTCCACATACCAGCAAGATCATGGCAGATCTATGTAGGTTGAATTGTTTATGTAAAGTATACCAGTTTGCTGTCAAGATAAGAGGATTCTTATGAGAAGTTTCAGAGTCTACTGTTCTTGATCCAGAAATATACATATATTGAACCTTAAGTGAGATAGATCAGTGTATAATAAAGTATGAGTAGTAGAGCCCATGGCATATATCTAATATTAAAAATGCCCATTTTTTTCATATTTATTTTATATGCTGGATGAATGTTACATTTAATTTTATCATCGCTGTATAAAACTAAGAATTTACCTTTGTCCTTTCCTTCTGACCTTCACTGAACCTGATATTTTTAAGCTAAGTCATTTTGTTTTGTTTTTAACCATTTCAGTGTCGGTCTCGTAGTACAATGCCATGAACTTAGCTCACTCAGATAAGCTCTAAGTGGCAAATTTGGGCCCAGATATGAGAGAATAGGTCTATGTGGTAAGTGTGCACCATATGAAAAAAAATCCTGCAGCACAGTGCATAATGAGAAAAAAAAAACTGTGACCATGTTTTTGGTGTAAAACAGCGACTTTATGGTGTATTTTCATGTGATATTTGTGGTTGTATTCTCAGTTTCTTGGTCTCGTGTGACGGAACCAAAGATATATTATAGAAATAGAGATGATTTTGATTGGTTTCAGGATTGAAAGTACCTTGAACATGAGCTCAAAGTAACAGAAATGTTCGATTTTTTGCCAATACGTATTCCAGAGTACACAAATGACAAAACTTGTCCAATAAGCATCCAACTGGCCAGTCTATTATACATTCACAAATGACTGACATTATTTATACAATTATTAAAATAATGCAGTAGTTTGCATAACAGTAAATCTTCTACTTTTTATGTTAATAAAAATTCAAAATAGAAAGTGTAATATAAGAGGGACCTGGAGATGTGACCAATGAACAGAGAAAATGTTATTTTAGTGCCAGGAATGTCTGCACTGTTTATTCTGGACCCTATTTTTAAATTGGCATTTCTTGAAATTTGTGTGAAATTGGCCAAATTAACAATTTATCACTTTATTGGGTAGATGAAATAGATAAATGGGCAGTTTCTTGTACTCAATCAATAGAAGGAATACTAGGAAAATAGCTATGAGTTTGGTCAGCTGGAATACTATTGGAATTGGCCAAAAACAGGGCGCAAAGTAGGCGAAATCATCATGCATAAATATCGCCGAGACTGCTAAATTTGTGAGAGAACAATTTTGTAAGTTTTCCATCAAATTTCTTACTTTTGGTTTTGTTACCTTCGGAAAAAGACTTTCCATCATTTCATAAGATAAAACAATTTTTTTTTTAAATTCTTCAACCCTGAGAGCAAGTTTGAGAGCAGGGGTCTCGACCCTGAAATGGTTAAATAATGTGTTATGTGTAGTCTGTCCTCTGCTGAGCGAGATTATCATTCAAGTAAATAATTTTTGAGTTCTTTATTATGGGTATGTTATTCAATACAGCCAGATCTTGATTTGAGGAGACATATGCAGTGCTATCCACAAATAGCACAGGTTTGAGTTGCTGGGAGATATCTGGTAGATCACTGATAGAGGATGAACTGCTGAGGTCTCAAGATGCCCCTTGTGGGTCACCAACATTAATGAGTAAATATTGCTTATAGTTACATGTTGGTGTCTATTACTGAGGTACAATCTGATCGAGGAGTATATATGACTTAAGAAATATGTGATCAACAGTATCAAATGTTTATGAAGTCTTAGTGATCAATTTTTTATCTGTGTAGATTGTACCGAACATCTTCATTTCGGTGTTGTTTCTGCTCCTTTCTGGCCTGAAATCAACCTGACAAAGCTTTAGTAAATCGTAGTTTATGCTGAAGTACATTTGTAATGAAATTATCTTCCTAAACATTTTTCATTTTATTGGTAGGTTCAGTATTAACCTGGAGTTATTTATGCCAATGGGATCTCCATTTTTTGTGTTTCAAGTAAAAATTTTAGGATGAACTTAACAGATCGTTAGGAAATTATCTAAAACATTGAAAGACAAGAAAAATAAATAAATAAAGAACAAACCTTAAAGAGTTTAATGGCTTCAGCCTGAAGCTGGGAGGACGGGAGAGAGGTTAAAGGAGAGGTGATGGGATCCTTGCTATGTAATAGTAGTGGGTGGCGCCATAATACACAGTCTGTCAAGAGTAATGTATCATTAGCATATTTTTCTTTTAAACTATATTAAGTTTAGCCACATAGGATACTATAGTCCTTAATTCAACAGAAGGAAGCAAAGTTTGAATATTTATAGAACATTTGGACCTGATAATTCAACAGAGAAATGGGCACGGCAATTTTTCATTCTATGTGAAATGGGGTATAACAAACCTTAAGCAAAGGGATAACTACTACTACTTGCTAAGCCTTTTCATATGAACAGTGAATTTATGATTTTAATAGAGTAACATATATTATAAAAATTTATTGATACCAATAACAGTAAAATTTTGCAATAAGTAAATTTTTATTATTTTTATATAAATCCATAATACTACATAATTTATGTAATAATATGGATTATGTCTCAGTTTTTCAGTTTAGCATACATGTTTAGCATACATTTCAACAAATCAATCAATTTACACACTGCACCTGACTTCTGAGAGAGAGACAAAGTACTGTTTTACAAAGAAGAGTCACTTACTAGGATCACCATCAAGCTCCATGAGTTTCTGCACCAGCTGCTCATACTGAGTCCCTGCATTGGGACCACCTCCTGAGACAACTGTTAGGTGATACAGCCAATTATCCTACAAAAGAAAAAAAAAAGAAAAAAAGAAATGCACTTTAAAGAATATATTAAAATCACAAGAATCATTAGTTTTTTATTTTGTGTCTGTGTGTTCAGTGATTTCTATAACAAGTATTTAAAACACAAAATAAAATGGATAAAGAATATGCTTACTGTACATAAAACCTTCAGCAAACTAATACCTTTTCCATTCTCATTTATGACAACAAGTTTTATAATCAGCCAAAGTAGATACTATACAGTGGAACTTCAACTATTGACTGCATTACTTGTCAAACAAATCGGTTTTCGAACGAAGAATTTGACAAAAAAATGTTCTGGTTTTCATACGTTCTCAACCAAAAATCCAAAAATCTGCAAGTTTTTAAGAAAGTCTGGGTAACAAGACAATTTTTTTTATTGAGTGGGTTCATGAGGTCTTTACTCCCACTGTCAAAAGGTGCCTCATTAAAAAAACAATTGCCACTCAGGGCCCTTTTACATATGGATAATACTCCTGCTCACCCTCCAAGCTGAAAAATGAGTTGCTGGAGGAGTTCAGTTTTATAACTGTGAAGTTCTTGCCTCCTAACACCACTCCTCTCATCTGGCCCATGGATCAGCAGGTCATTTCTAACTTCAAGAAACTCTGCACCAAAGCACTTCTTGAAAAGTGCTTTGATATCACTTCAGAAACAAATTTAACCCCTCAGGGAGTTCTGGAAGAATCATTTCAATATCCTCACCTGCTTGAGGCTTTTAGACAAAGCCTGGGGGAATGTGTCTTCCAGGACCAAACAGTCAGCATGGAAGAAACTGTGGCCTGACTTTGGGGCAGCCAGGGATAATGATGGCTCTGACGATAAGCCTGAGCCGGTAGAAGATACTGTGTCCCTGGGAAACACCTTGAGGCTAAAGGTGACTGAAGATGATGTGGAGGAGTTAGTGGAGGAGCCCTGAACTGAATTTGCCATAGAAGAACTTGTAGACCTTCAGGAGGAGCAGCAACAGATTGCAGCAGAGGAGCTGTCATCAGAGGAAGAGGAGGGAAGGGATGATGTGCCCATTGCACTTGTCAAGGAAATGTGTGCTAAATGGCGTGAAGTGAAGGAGTTTGCTGAAAAATACCATCCAGATAAAGCAGTGGCCATCCATCTCTCTAACCATGTACGTACGACAGTGTAATGTCTCAATTTAGACAAGTGTTAAAACGGAGCCTGAAATAAACCTCACCGGACAGGTTTTTAGTGAGGCAGAGAACAAGTGAGCCAGAACAAGGTGTTAGTGGTGAATAACACCAGAAGGACAGTTGCCTGACATATTAATAGAAGGTGACTCTCCTTCCAAGCAGTAACATTCCCCCTCCTCTCCTACACCTTGTGCATCCAGTATACCATTAGCTCTCCTCTGACAGATAAGAGGCAGTTAAATTTTCATTTGCTGTACAGTATTTTAGTTAAAGTTTCTTTTAGTATTCATTTTTACAGTTTTATGTAGTAGTTAGTATATTTTTAATATATTATTATATTGTTGTTTGGGGTCTGGAACAGATTAATTCTATTTATATTATTCTTTACAGGAAAAATTGCTTTGGTTGTCGTCCATTTTGGTTGTCAAATCGACATCTGGAACGAATTAAATTCGACAACTGAGGTTCCACAGTATATGTATTGTAACAATGTATCACAGCAGTATTTATATATTTATATGAAGCTTTTACTGGGAAAAAAATTTCCCTCTTTCCTACATACTCTAACTTGAGCCTCAGTGAAGAGTTTTTACGAGGATAGTGAGGCTCAAGTTAGAGTATGTAGGAAAGAGGGAAATTTTTTCCCAGTAAAAGTAGGCCTTAGACAAGGATGTGTGATGTCACCGTGGTTGTTTAATATATTTATAGATGGGGTTGTAAGAGAAGTAAATGCGAGGGTTTTGGCAAGAGGCGTGGAGTTAAAAGATAAAGAATCACACACAAAGTGGGAGTTGTCACAGCTGCTCTTTGCTGATGACACTGTGCTCTTGGGAGATTCTGAAGAGAAGTTGCAGAGATTGGTGGATGAATTTGGTAGGGTGTGCAAAAGAAGAAAATTAAAGGTGAATACAGGAAAGAGTAAGGTTATGAGGATAACAAAAAGATTAGGTGATGAAAGATTGAATATCAGATTGGAGGGAGAGAGTATGGAGGAGGTGAACGTATTCAGATATTTGGGAGTGGACGTGTCAGCGGATGGGTCTATGAAAGATGAGGTGAATCATAGAATTGATGAGGGAAAAAGAGTGAGTGGTGCACTTAGGAGTCTGTGGAAACAAAGAACTTTGTCCTTGGAGGCAAGAGGGGAATGTATGAGAGTATAGTTTTACCAACGCTCTTTATATGGGTGTGAAGCGTGGGTGATGAATGTTGCAGCGAGGAGAAGGCTGGAGGCAGTGGAGATGTCATGTCTGAGGGCAATGTGTGGTGTGAATATAATGCAGAGAATTCGTAGTTTGGAAGTTAGGAGGAGGTGCGGGATTACCAAAACTGTTGTCCAGAGGGCTGAGGAAGGGTTGTTGAGGTGGTTCGGACATGTAGAGAGAATGGAGCGAAACAGAATGACTTCAAGAGTGTATCAGTCTGTAGTGGAAGGAAGGCGGGGTAGGGGTCGGCCTAGGAAGGGTTGGAGGGAGGGGGTAAAGGAGGTTTTGTGTGCGAGGGGCTTGGACTTCCAGCAGGCATGCGTGAGCGTGTTTGATAGGAGTGAATGGAGACAAATGGTTTTTAATACTTGACGTGCTGTTGGAGTGTGAGCAAAGTAACATTTATGAAGGGATTCAGGGAAACCGGCAGGCCGGACTTGAGTCCTGGAGATGGGAAGTACAGTGCCTGCACTCTGAAGGAGGGGTGTTAATGTTGCAGTTTAAAAACTGTAGTGTAAAGCACCCTTCTGGCAAGACAGTGATGGAGTGAATGATGGTGAAAGTTTTTCTTTTTCGGGCCACCCTGCCTTGGTGGGAATCGGCCGGTGTGATAATAAAAAAAAAAAAAAAAATGAAGCAGTAAACCACTGTAGGTCATTTAGCAGAAGTGGTGGAGGCTTGAGCCTCTGCCACTAATTGCAAGACAAACCCACTACTCTCAACAACCAATAAACTTGCCAGGTTGCAAATAATGGTTAGGCATCTCACCTGGTGTGTACTGACCCATTTGAGCTGCCACAATACAAAAGTGGCAGACAATACATTAACAGTAACCGAGTTACTTCTTTAGTGCATTCAGCCCTGATATCAAGGTACTGGATTTATCACACATGAGGAATGGGGAAACATAGGCAATACTGGCATCAATAATAATAATAATAATAATAATTGAAAATATTAAAGGATTATGTGGAGTAAAATAAGGGTTGGATGTGAAAAGTGGGTTATAGTAAGCATTTATGCACCTGGAGAAGAGAGAAGTGTAGAGGAGAGAGAGAGATTTTGGGAAATGTTGAGCGAGTACGTGGGGAGTTTTGAACTAAGTGTGAGAGTACTTGAGGTTGGGGATTTAAATGCCAAAGTGGGTAAAAATGTTGTGGAGGGAGTAGTAGGTAAATCTGGGGTGCCAAAGGTAAATGAAAATGGGAACCTTTAACCCTTTCAGGGTCCCCAGGCCCTCTCCCAGACTTTTTCTCAGTCACCCAAATTTAAAAAAAAAAAAAAAAAAAATTTCTTATGAAAAGATAGAGAATCTTTTCCTGATCATAATGACACCAAAAGTATAAAATTTGATGGAAAACTTAAGGAATTATGCTCTCGCGAAGTTAGCAGTCTCCACGATGTTTATGCATCGACGATTTTGCCCACTTTGAGCCCTATTTTTGGCAAATTCCAGAGAACTAGTCGACAAAAATCATAACTATTTCGCTAGAAGTCCATTTTTTCTATCGAATGAGTACAAGAAACCACCCATTTACCGATTTCAACTATCCAATACAGTGGTCAGAATTTAGCAATTTTGCCAATTTCACACAAATTTCAAAAGATGCCAATTTCCAAATAGTGTCCAAATAAACAAGAAAGACATTCCTGGCACTAAAGTAACACTTCCCTGTTCATTAGTGATGTCCCCATGCCCATTTTACATTCTTTTGCTTTCCACATTGAATTTTTATTCCCACAAAAAAATAGAAGATTTACTGTTATGCAGACTACTGTATTAGTGTAGAAATGGTATAAATAATAACAGCGCACTTGTGAAAGAATATTAGACTCACCAGTTGACCTGTATTGGACGCTTAGCATGATTTGTTTACTTTTGAACTTTGGTAAAAATCTAACATTTCTGCTACTTTGAGCTCAATTTCAAGGTACTTTTCTTTGTAAAACCAGTCAAAATCATCTCAATTTCTGCAATATGTCTTCCATTCTATAAAATGAGACCAGGAAAACTAGAATACACCAATAAATACCATACAAAAATACAGTGCAAAGTCACTGTTTTAATCCAAAAACAGGGTCAGTTTTTTTTTTCTCATTATGCACTGCGTGCTGCAGGATTTTTTTTATACTGCGCACACTGACCACACAGACCCATTCTTTCATATGTAGGCTTACCAGCTTTCTCTCACTAGATTTGAGGGCACTAGAATTTAGGCGTACTAGTACGTCAAAAACCCTGGTGCGTAAGCCATACTAGTATGTCCAAAACCCTGAAAGGGTTAATTGAGCTATGTGCAGAAAGAGGTTTGGTTTTAAGTAATACATACTTTATGAAAAAGAGGATAAATAAGTATACAAGGTATGATATAGCATGCAATGAAAGTAGTTTGTTAGATTATGTATTGGTGGATAAAAGGTTGACGGGTAGGCTTCAGGATGTACATGTTTATAGAGAGACAACTGATATATTGAACCATTATTTAGTTGTAGCTACAGTTAAAGAGGTAGATGGGATGAAAGGAAAATGGAAACAACAAGCAAGAGAAAGGTGAAAGTGTATAAACTAAGGGAGGAGGAAGATAGGGTGAGACATGACCAACTATTGGCAGAAAGGTGGGCTAG